TATATAATATATATAATAATATATATATAATATATATATATAAATATATATAATTATATATATATATAATAATAGATATAATATATATATAATATATATATGAATATATTATATAATAATATATATAAATATATAATAATATATCTATAATATATATATAATATATATATAATATATATATAATCTAAGATAATAATAATATATAATATATAAATAAATTAATATTAATTACAATATAGATATATATATAAGTGATATAGATAATATATATATAATATTATATATTATATATAATTTAATATATATATAATATATATCATAATATATATAAATTATAAATAATATATATTACTATATATATAATATGCTATATAATATGTATATACTATGTATTATAATATGTATATAATTGTATATAATATGTATGTAAATATGTATGTAATAGGATATAATATGTACTATAATATTTATACTTATATATATAATATATATATATAATATAATATAATTATAGATAATATAATATAATATATATAATAATATATATATATAATACATATATAATATATATACATTATAACAATAATATATACAATTATATACAATATTACCAATTATATATTACATCATATAGTATATCAATATATATACAATATATATACAATATTATCTATATATCTATATTCATATATATATCTATATATATATATATCTATAATGTATATAATATAATATATATATTATATATATATATATATTATATTATACTATATAATATATATATAATCTATATTATATATATATATATATATATAATATATATGCATATGTATAGAATAGATATATAATATATATGTATATGTTATATAATAATATATATAGATATATATGTATCTGTATAGAATATTAATAGAATATATATGTATCTTTGTATATAATATATAGTATAATATTATAGTATATGGTAATAATATATTATATAATATATTGTATATGTATATAATATATATATAATTATATGTATATGAATATAATAATATTATAATATATATGTAAATGTCATAATAATATATATATAAATATATATGTTTGTATAATAGATTTTATATAAATATATATGTATATGTATATAATTATATATAATATATATGTAATGTATATAATATAATATAATATTATGTAATGTATATAATATATATATAATGTATATGTATATGTATACATAATTATATAAATTATGTATATGTATATCAATATATGTAATATACATGTATATCTATATGTATATAATATATATGTACTATATATGTATATGTCTATAATATCTATCATAATCTATATGTATATGTATATAATATATCATATAATATCTATGTATCTGTATATAATATATATGTAATGTATGTATATCTTTATATGTAATATAATATATATATATATGTATATAATATATATATCTGTATATACTATATATATATGTCATATAATATCTATATCTATATATCTATATATATAGATGTATATAATATATACCTAATACATATACTATATTATATGTATAATAATATATAATATATATATATATATAATATATATCTCTTATATATAATATATACTATATATATATATATATATCTATAGATATCTAAATATATCTCTATACTACATACTCTCTATATATATATACTATATACATATATATATAGATTATATACTATCTATTATATCTATATATATATATATCTATCTATATATATATCCTATATACTCTATATCTTATATATATATATATTAGAGATATATCTCTAATATATATATATGCTATCTACTACATATATATATATATATCTATATATCTATTATATATATATATCTCTCTATATATATATCTAATCTATACACTATATATATCCTCTATCTAGAATATCATATATCTAATATATATCTACTATCCGAATATCATATTATACATCTATACACTATACTATCTCTATACATTATATATAAACATATATATATCTTATCATATATATCTCTATATACATATATATCTATATAATATATATACCCTATATATATATATCTATATCTTACCTCTATATATCATATATATAACCTATATATCTCTCCTCTATATATATACTATACTATATATATCTATATACATATATTATATATATATATCTATATACCTATTATACTATATATATATATCACTATATATATAATATATATATATATATATATCTCTACATATAAGAATATATCTATATCTATATTATATTACTATATATTATTATATATATATTATATCTACATATAGCTCTATATATATATATATCATACATACATATATATACTATATACTATACATATATATATATTTCAATTCATTTTAACCACAACAAACCCATAAAAATCTAAAAATTCTATATATATATTATTCTCATATCTCTCTATATAATATATTTTTACAAAAACTATTTAAAATAAAAAAATCCAATTTCTCATCTATATTATAATATATATATATACATATATATAATATACTATCAATATATAATACATACATATATTTATCTCATATCTCTAGTATACATACATCTATATAATATCTATCTATATATATTCATACTTATCTATTCTAACATATATATATATATATAATATTCATATATATATCATATATATACCCTATATATTAGATATATATTCTATATCTATATATATATCTATATATTATCTATTCTTATATATTCATTTCTTATATAACACATATATATATATATATATATATTATAATTCTCATATTAAACATCTTATATCTAGATATATTCTATAATACATACCTATATATTTCTATATACTATATATAATAATTCTCTATACTATCTCTATATATATATATATCTCTCTATAATATATATATATACTCTAACACGATATATATATAATATAGATATATTTCTAGCTACTATATATATCTATATATCTATATCTATATATTATCTAATATATATATATATCATAATATATATCTATCGATAATACTATATATATATATATCAATAATCTAATATATCTTCTATAATCTATATAATATATACTATTCTTTCATATATATCTCTCTAGCATATATATATTTATATTCCTATATATCTATATTATATATAATAATATAGATATCTATATCATATATTTTAATATCATCTATAACTTATCCTATCTCTCTCTCTACTCTATACATATATATATATACAATATATATATATAATATATCTATATATAATATATATATTGCATATACATATATATATATCTATACTATATATCTATATCTAATATTATCTATATCTCATATCTCTCTCTCTATATACTATATATATATATATCTCTCTAATATATATATATATAATATATATATATATCTAATATTAGATATATTGTTGTTGGGCCAAAGCTGACTTCCCAAGCACACCGCTTATTCATTCTCCCTATCTACTCTATACTCTACTACTATATCTATCAGTATATAATAATATCTCTATATTATATATAATATTATATATCCAATATATCATATCTTATAAATATATATATATACTCTATACTCTCTATATAATCTATATATAGATAACTATTCTATATATATTATTATATATCGATATCATTATTATTATACTATATAATCATATATATATTATTATTATATAATATTATAATAATATATCTATTATATCTTATAATATATATATATATCTATATATATATATATTATCTCATATTATATAATCGTCATATTATAATATATATATATATATCTATCTATACTAAATATATATATATTAATTATATCTATATATCGCATCTATATATTTATATATATACTTCTATATATATATACATACTATATATATCTTATATTTACATCTCATATATCTATATATCATCTATATATATCTATATATATCCTTTTATATGATTATACGTCTAGTTATTATTTCAATTACATCTAGATCTCACTATATCTAAATCTAATATTATATATTATCTATACACTCTATATACTATATATACACTATATATATATATATATCTATCACTATTATATATATATCTTACATATATATATCTCTCTCAGAACTCATATATCTACTATATATATAAATATATCATATTATATTATATATATACTCTCTATAATTCTATATATCTCTTCTCTAACTCTATATTATCTTCTTCATCTATTTCTCATATTATATCTATATTCTCTACTGTAGTATATATTCTATATCTATATATCTCTATCTCATAGTCGTATCGTCGTCTCTCTCTCATCTATTCATGTGTCTATATATACGTATTTATCTCATCTTCTATATATAGTGATTTCGCATATCTACACTAATATCTATATATCTATATATTATATATATTATCATCTATATGTATTATATCTTAACGATATGTATATTTAATATATATAGATGTATATGTATATATATAGATGTATATGTATATATATAGATGTATTAGTATATATATAGATGTAATTGCTATATAATATATATATATATATATATATATATATATATATATATATATATATATATATATATTATATATATATATATATATATATATATATATATATAGATGTATATATATAGATGTATATATATAGATGTATATATATATGTGTGTGTGTGTGTGTGTACATATTTTTGCAGATGAAATAACATGTAAGAGTCACCACACTAGCTTCAATCTGACCCAGCCAAGGTAGTAACATATCCCTTTTAACAGGAGGCCATGAAACACAAGTGAAAATGTAAGACAAAAATATTTCAAAAGCAATTTAGTCCTAAAACACTTACCAGCTTCCCTCTGTTGTTGAATTTTTAGTTCTATAAACTCTATCAAGTTTTTAATACTGTAATATTATTTTGAGGTCTTACTTTACACAATGTAGTCATTACTGTGGATACATAGACACTCTCCCAGTTTACACATTTATTCCCCTTCTGGGGCAACGGAAGACATATTTAGATAGACACATGTAGCTCACACATTACATGAAATAGTACAAAAAGTAATATACAAATAGTACATGAAAAGTAATATACAAGACAAGTATAATACAAAATGTCTGATAACAGATGAAAGTGACCGTTATTGGAATTTCTTTCATAAAAGTGATGATTTTTATTTCAAAAGGAGAATGATGGTCCTTTACATTTTTTTTTATAACTTACGTGAAAAATATTACATTTCAATATAATGCAACAAGAATGTTACAACATGAGTTTTTTTTTCAAAACTCCTAAAACAGATTTTTTGCATTATTTGGTATGAAAATCAAAAAAACAATTCTCAGGTTAAGCACTGGGTGGAATCCAGGATCCCATAATTCTATTTTGGTAAAATAAAAACCACTTTCAGGGATACCAAGCCTTATTTGATAACCTAATTACGTTCTGTAAATGTAAGGGGAAATGGCCCCACAGGTTCAAATACTTGAGTGTGTTTTCTGCGGAGGTCCCCACCTCTCCACGCAAGGTTGAATTGTTGGAGAGTCTGGAAGGATCATTGAGAAATGTCTATATTATTCTCTCTCAAATCAATCATTCTTCTATGAATATATTATTAATGCTGCTACTCTAAGAGAATTATGAAACTAACAGATTGTAAGGTTACTGCAATTATCATAACTGAAATTATTTCAAATACAGACCATGACTTTCAGACAGAAAATGAACGTTTCTACAAAACTGAGAAGGATCAATGTCTTCATGCTCACTTAGCAAGGATATTGCAAGATTACCTACATGAACACACACATTAAAATTATGGCTCACCCTTGCTATTAAAATAGACAGAATCTGTTCCGAAATGCGAATACCAATGCACATGCGCTTTCCGTGTGAAAATGGGAGTGAGGCGTAAGGATGCATCTGGCCCAGTGGACGATGCTGCAGCCAGCGGTCGGGGACAAAGTCTTGTGACTGAGCAAACTGCGACTCATCCAAGCCAGAGATTGCACTTGTCATCAAACAACACCACTGTGTGAAACAAGATCTTCTTAGTATGCTGTTTAATCTTCCATTGTTATCATCTATCAGTTATCAAAATCTTAAGGGCATTACATTTATCAGTTCAAGCATTTAATAACTCATCACAAAAAGAGCAACTTCTTACCCCTTTTTGAAGTGTATATCCCCTGATTCTTATATCATTCTGTAGTACCCTAACTGTACCTATAGCAGGTGGTAATAACCTGCAGGATATACAAAATTACTTTCAGTTCTATTAAACCTCTCATACTAGTTGCTACTAGATGAAGGCAACTTTACCTATTTTGAAAAGAAAACTGCATGAAAGATCTTCAAGAGGCTGTTATAGGGAAAAGGATGACTGAAAGAAGGCAAATTTTTATCATTTGCTATTAACTAAAAAACCTTTTAGCAATTTCCATGAAAATGACATCTTTACTGCAGGATGGGTGTTGTACTTGAATTGATAATGAACTACTTCTACAATCTGTTGATCACAGCAATGCTTTGACTATCCTTGAACTAGCCTTAACATGAACTCCATCAAAGGCATCTATAATGAACTGAAGAATGGGATAAATAGAGTCTTCAGCAGACATGGACAACAGTCTTTGAACTGCACCTCTGATACATTAGGCAGAAGAGTATCTCAGTGCCAAGATGTTGAAGTTGTGCCAAAATACATAAATTCCATTATTGCTACAAAAAGTGATCTTAGAGAAAGGAAAATCAAAACAAAGAGGGCTCACAATTAACCTTATAAATAACTTACCTTAAGCTTTCTTTCAACGTTGCTCTGATATAAGACAATTGATTCAATTGCTCGGGCGTGATTGGAGTCAGGTCCCTTCCAAGCACGCGATCGACCTCCTCTTGGGCTTTGGCTTGAATTTCTGGGTATTTGGCCAGGAGATAGAAGAGCACTAAGCTGGCACTCGTTGTCTGAAGGGAGAGAGAGAGGGTGAGAGATCATACACTTTCAATCAAAGATATCTCAAGCTTAATGACATGCATATCTGGGAAGAAAAAAAAATAAGGCAGAAAAACTACTGCAAGCTTATGTCATGTTGATTTTGACAATATGTAGATCTATCATAAGAAATAAGAACACTAATTCTATATTTTCTTAAGTGTCTTTTAACTCACACTAACACTATAAGCCCCCCTAATCTTGCTAAATATATACAGTGTATGAAATGTCAGCAACTTTATCATTTATGAAGCTTGTAACATCAAAAAGACATCTCCCATTCCCAGTAAGTTTAAATAAAACAATGGCAAAAGGCCTGATCTTCTCACAGCCTCTTCCCCCAAAAATTATAAATCTTTAGGGAAAACCAACCGTCTCTGTTCCGCCAGGTAGGAGGTCTATCATGAAGGTGACAATGTCCTTGTGCGAGAGTTCTGAATCCAGCAGCAGTTGTTCCATCAAGCTAGGGCTATGATT